TACAGGTCCAGCTCCTTGACGGCCACGCCGATGTGGTGCGGCTGCACGCAGAGCACCGGGTGGCCGCACTGCGCCGCCTTCACCAGCCGCTCGCCGTCCGTGCTCTCGAGCGGGACGCCCTTGAACAGGATGACCATGACCAGGTCCAGCCGCCACACCTTGTCGGCCTGGCGCAGGCAGTCGATGCGCCGCATCTTGCCCTTCTGGTCGGGGTTGGACAGCACGCAGCCCGGCGCCTTCTTGCCCGTGATGGCCAGCACGAAGTCCTCGCGGCACTCGGGCCGGATGTCCTTGCGCAGCTTGGCCAGCAGCCGCGACGCCCACTTCTGCTTGACCTCGGCCTTCTCGCCCAGCAGCTCGTCCTTCACCGCGCGCTCCTCGTCCTTCGACATCCGCTTCTCGTGCTTCTTGAAGTACTTCCGCTTCCGCGCCTGCAGGTTGAACCAGGTGTAGGCGAAGGCGCGGACGTGAGGCAGCAGCGCCTCGATGAACGGGTGGAACTCATCCTGCGGGCGACAGGCCGAGGTCACTGCGGGGAAACTGAGGCCGGGGCTCCCGGGGCGCTCCTGGGACCCCGGAGGCCCGCGAGCGGCCGAGGTCCCCGCACCCGGAGACCTGCACCACCAAGACGGGACAGCGGGCCACACCTCGGCCCCCCTGCCGGGCCAGAAAGGGCCGGAGACAGCCACGCAGCGTGTCTGCCACGGTTTGGCTCTGTGGTTCTTCCAGTACCGGGAGCGACCCCAGGACCTTTGCACTGAGCTGCACCCCTACCCTTTTTGAGTTTTAAATTTATTACTACTATCATTACTGTGCAACACTAGGGGTGGAACCCAGGCCCTTCCCACTCAACTCCATCCCCAGCAACTTTCTATTTTTTTTTTTTTTTTTTAAATTTTGAGACAGGGTCTCACAAATCACTAAGTTGCCCAGGCTGGGCTGGAACTGGCGATCCTCCTGCCTCAGCCTCCCAGAGTGCCGGGGTGACGGGTGTGCATCACCGCACCCAATTTCAACCCTGCATTTTACTGCAAAATGAGCCAGAGATGAGAGGAACTGGGCGGGTGTGGCCATAGCCCAGTAAAGTTTTATTTACAGAAATTTTGTTTTTGTTTTTGGTACCGGGGATCGAACTCAGGACCTTGTGCTTGCGAGGCAGGCGCGGTGCCACTGAGCTAAATCCCCAGCCCTATTTATAGAAAGAGATGCCAGGCGTTCACCCTGGACTGTAGTTTGCAAACCTCCATTTACAATCTGGGAGCTACAGAGTCCCCAGATGCCTAGAGCAGGGCCGTTCGAACGACTGTCACCCAATGTCTGCAGGAGGAAATGGGCTTGGAGAAAAACATCCAGGTCTCGTCTCTGGCCCTGTTTCGAGCAGGCAGAGGTGAGGTCAGGGCGGTGTGAGGTCCAGTGCTGGGTCTGTAGCCCCACACGCCTGTGACATCCTAATGAAAAACAGGCCCAGGCTTGATATGATGGTGCACACCTGTAACCCCAGCACTCTGGAGGCTGAGGTGGGAGGATTGCTGTGAGTTCCAGGTCAGCTTGGGCTACATAGCGAGACCCTGCTACCTAAAATAAAAAATAAAAAAAAAGTGAAGGTCTTGTTGTGTTGCCCAGGCTGGGCTGGAACTTGCAATCCTCCTGCCTCAGCCTCTCAAGTGCTGCGATGACAGGTGTGTACCACCACACCCAGTCACCAATGCTCTTATTTTTGGCTCTTTTGGGCACATTGTCCTGATTATTCCAGTTACTTTACTTCCAGGAAGCAGGAAAAGCCCCAAAGCTCTGCTACCCCACGTGTAAGGGGAAACAGACTTAAAAAGGGGCCAAGACTTGGCCAAGGTCCCACAGGGCGTCCAGGTTGGTATGAGGATGAGAACCATGGGGGTGGCGAACTCCTGTCATCCCAGCACAAAGGGAGGCTGAGGCAGGAGGATCGCAAATTCAAGCTGAGCTCTTGCAATTTAGCAGCTTAGCAAGGCCCAGTCTCAAAATAAAAAAGCCTAGGGAAGCAGCTCAGTGCTCAGGCCCTGGGTTCAGTCTCCAGTGCTGCAAAAACAAGAAACAAAAAGCCAGGATCTTGACCCTCTATTCAGCTGTTGACCCCTGTCCCCAAACAGCCTGTCCTCTCTGGGGTCTCGGGACACAGGGCTCAGCCCCCCCAGGCCCCCAGCTCCATTTCCCAGCCAGCTCAGTGCCACTCCCAGGCCTGGCTGCACTCGGTGCCCTGCCAGCACCCTCCCCACGCCGCCTCCTCCTGGGTGCTGGGGAAGAGGGACATCAGATTTCACCTCTTACTGCGGGTCTGAAAATAGCCTCCTGCCCCAAGACCAGGGCCTGGCCTGTGAGTCACCGGAACAGCTGTGGAGCCCTGGACCCTGGGCCTTCCCTGCTGCCCCCTCCCGGGACAGACCCAGGCCCAGGGAGGTGCGCCCTGTCCCATCCCGGTCCCCACCTGGCTGCCTTCCCCAGCCTGGATGCCAGTGGACACAGGGAGCGATCTGTCCCGGGCACAGGGCTGCCTGCCCGCAGAGAAGGGAACGGGGCCCAGACCACCTGGCCAAGCGGCCTCAGGGGGAGGGGACAGAGGAAGAGGGGAGGGGTCCATGGTGGCCAGGGTCACTAGGACCACAGTGACATGGGCTGTGGCCGCGACCCGGACTGGGACTCGCAGGGGACATCAGCAGAGGCAGCAGGGGTGGGTGGGGAGGGGCGACC